TAATTTGAAAGAGAAAAAAATTTTTTTAATCAAAAAGAAACTTAGAGTGGTAAGGGTATTTTGGTAAATAAAAAATTAAAAAATTTTTTTCTTTACAACTTGAAAGTACTTTTCAAACCGTACAACTTTTGTTTAAAACATTTTTTTCTATCTTTTATATTTTCGATGATATTCGCCATGAAAGAAAAAAACAATTTTTTTTCAAAAGGGTGTTTCACCCTTTAAACCCGAGATTCCGCACATATAAAAAAATACGTGTCTCTTAGATTTTTGTGTTTAAAAACATATTCTAAGGAGAATTAAATCGGTGCCGGACAGTTGTGACATGTCCCTTGTTAGTCACTCCCGCACTTAACTTCACTCAGAATTAATAAATTCAATGAAAATCAATGTCGCGATTAATTGTCAATGCATCCGTGATGAGTAGCCACTCGGAATCGCAAAGCGTTTCACGGCAACTATTCAATCACATTTATCTTTAGTTTTACTCGCGTTTCTTAAAGTTTTCGCTTATCGCGTCTCGGAATCTAAAATTTCGCTTCAGAATTTGCTCGTTTGGCAAAATATTTAATAACTCTTTTGAGTTTCAATGAGTCTAAATGCTTTTCAGTATCACGCGTTTACTTTACTTAGTTTTTCTGAAACTTTTCTTTAATTTTGCACTTTGGCAATTGAATTCTTCAATATATGAATTGAATTTATTACATTTCAAACAAACTTTTCGTTTGCGTGTACTTTTCGTTTCCCGTAATCTCTTTTTCGATTCGAAATTATCTTTACTTTAATTTTCGCGCACTGAGTTTAATTAACGTATTTCGCTTTGAAATACTGTAGATTCTTTACTACTTAAGAGGATGCTGAAAGGTCGGGAATTACCGACATTTGCATTCAAATGAATAACTCCGAAACGACTGAACGGATTTAAAAACGCTTTTACAGGATTGAAATAGACATAAAATGTCATCGCGCTAGGTATATATGAGTAGTAAAAACGAAAGAAAATTAAAAAATTACTTTTTTGGGGTTTCATAACCTGTCATCTGACGTACACATTTCATAAGTACAAGAGTTCTGCAGCTCATATGTACATCAAAAGTACCTAGCGCGCATCGGATTACTTGCACGAATAATACAAGACCTTTAGAGCTACGATTAGAAGCGTAGAAAAAAAGTTATACATTAGAATGCAATTTGTGGTAATTTTTACACTTACAATTAGCTAAGCACACAACGATTAGCAGAGCAGTAAATGTGTCTAGCTGTAGATGGTCGATCTTACGAGAGATGGCGTTGCAGAAGAAAGAGCGCGTCGGTAAACTCGCACACAGAGACGCTTCGATCATTCATGTGACACGACTCGGCACGCCGAGCAAGCGAGAGAATCTGTCTTTCTCGCTCCGCTCTCTTTTCTTGTTTGATTGATGCAATCGAGACTCTATACTCTATGTTTTGTCGGAGTTAATGTGACAAGAACATAACCATCCCAAACTTAGATGAATTTATAATATGTGATAATATATCCCTCGTACCAATGCACTATAGTAACAGTCATGTCAATAGTTTATGAGATATTATTGTTAAAATTGTCCGTGTGCCTTATATACTAGGTTCGTAAACCTGAAATACATCAAGTTCGTGTGGCCGAGCGAATAAAGCGCGTGACTAAAACGCGCGTAACTGGATGTTCCAAGTTCGAGTCCAACTGTATTCATAATATTTTTTGTAAATATTAGGCGAAATATTT